CATCAGCATCATCATCCTCATCCTCATCATCCTCATCCTCACCATCATCATCATCATCCTCATCCTCATCATCATCATCCTCATCATCATCGTCATCATCATCATCAGCAGCAGCATCAGCATCATTATCATCATCATCATCATCATCATCATCATCAGCCCCAGCCCTTCCCCTTATAAACATTTTCCCCCCGTTGAACCTCAAATCAAGTTCTCAGGGCGGATCGGGGGCTTCGCCTGAGACGTCGTCACCATTTATGACCCTGCAGCTGAAAGAAATACAATGGTTTCACAGATGGAGGGCGGATGGTGTTCACAGTGTGGGACTCGCCTGAGCCCTGCGAACATTCGGTTTAAAAAGTTGCAAGAGTTTCACAGGCTGAGGGCGGTTCCTGTCCAGAGTGTGGCTCTCGCCGTAGCGCCGCGCACATCCGTTTTTTGATGCGCTTTCACGGATTGACGGCGGGTGGTTTTCAAAATGTGGCTCTCGCCTTAACGCCGCGCACGTTCGTTGGAAAGTTGGAAGAACTTCAAGGGTGGAGGGCGGGCGATGTTCAAAATGTGGCTCTCGCCTTAGCACCGCGCACATTCGTTCCCAAAGGTTGCAAGAGTTTCACGGATTCCCATGGCCAACGTGCCATGAACGGGGTTCTTGAAGGATTCACAATTGTGAGGGTGCAGCAGTAACGTTGATGCGCGGTGTTCAAATCCCAGGAATGGCGTTCTGGCACGACTCAAGATCGCCAAGACGCAATAGTCAGGCTGTTCCGCGGCGTTGGAATCCCGAGAACAATGGGTTGACATGCTTCAGGGCCGTCAAACGGTTGTCTTCCAACGAGGCAGACCCCTCAGTGGAAATGAATCGCTGTGGGGGCATATGAAGAGGGAGCTTGGAGGGAGGCTTTATTCCAGCGTCGTTCATGACTCTTGGGTGTACACGGGCTCTCCTCCTCCTCCTCCTCATCCTTCTCCTCGTCTTCCTCCTCGCCATCCCCATCATGATCATCGTCAGCATCGTCATCAGCATCGTCATCATCATCATCAGCATCATCAACATCAGCATGAGCATCATCATCAGCATCATAATCATCGTCGCCATCGGAAACATCACCATCATCAGCATCGTCGTCATCATCATCAACATCAGCATCATCATCGGCATCGTCATCATCATCATCATAATCGTCATCGTCATCGTCAACGTCATCATCCCCACCACCGTCAACATCATCAGCATAATCATCCTCAGCATCATCATGAGCAGCATCATCATCATCATCATCATCATCATCATCATCATCATCATCAGTAGCATCGTCATCATCATCAGCAGCATCATCAGCATTATCATTATGGCCACCTCCTCATCTTGTGCCATGTGTTCTTCTTCATCACCCTACTTCGAAGACTCCCGCCTCCGCCTCCTATCATAGATACACCCTTTGACCCCTTGGGGACCACCAGGCTGCGTGGCGGAGGTTGTCCTGCCCCCTGCTACAGTTCCAGCTTCTGGTCTCCAATGGTATAGTAATGCGTTCTGCTTCCGACTGCAAATTAGAACGGTCCGCGCTGGGGCGAGAGGGGAGCGGAAAAAGTACGTTTACCGCGGCCTCCCAGGGTTCACAGAATTCCCACAGAGGGGGAACAATAATCGAGGAAGAAGAGGAGGAAGAGCAGGACGAGAAGGAGAAGGGAGAGGAGGAGGAGGAGGAGGAGGAAGGACGAGGACGAGGAGGAGAAGGAGTTAGAGGTTCGCGCCCACGAGGCAACGATCTGCAAATCACACCAGATTCGCGCCCTGGCGGCCGCGATCCCTGGCATCTTGCACGAGGTGCGGGCCGCAAGGAGTACAACCAGTGGTAGATTACTCCAGACTCGCGCCCCCGGAGGCCACGGTCCGATGCCAATAACCCAAGACTCGCGCCCGTGAGGCCACGATCCTTGGTAAACTACACCAGGTTCGCGCCCCCCAGGCCACGATCCCTCATAAATTGCTACAGGATCGCACCCCCGAGGCCACGATCCCTTATAAATCACACAAGGCTCGCGCCCCCGAAGCCACGATCCCTTGAACAGCGGCGCTAGATTCGCGCCCCCGAGGGCAACGATCCCTCGCAAATTACGCCAGATTCGGGCACCCGAAGCCATGAGCCCTTGTAGATGATGCGCGGTTCGCGCCCCCGACGCCAGTCCTTCGAAAAGAACCCCTCGAGCCTCACCCCGCATTCGCGCCCCCGATGCAACGATCCCTTTTGAATTCTGGGAGGAGGGGGAGGAGGAGGAGGAGGAGGAGGAGGAGGAGGAGGAGGGGAGGAGAGGAGGAGGAGGAGAAGGAGGAGGAGGAGGAGGAGGAGGCGGAGGCGCAGGCGGAGGAGGAGAAGGAGGAGGAGGAGCAGGAGGGCCCCGCCCCTCCCTGTCGGGCTCCAGGGTCGAGCGCTCCGCGCCGCCGGGCAGGTACGGCAGTCCCATGCGCGCGCACGGCTTGTGGTCGATGCCGAACCTGGGGCGCGACTCCGGGCTCCCTCCCAAGCTTCTCCTCCTCTTCCTCCTCTTCCTCTCCTCATCCTCCCTCCCTCCCTCCCTCCTCCCTCCCTCCCTCCCTCCCTCCCTCCCTCCCTCTCCATCCTCCCTCCTCCTCCTCTCCTCCCTCCTCCTCCTCCTCCTCCTCCTCCTCCTCCTCCTCCTCCTCCTCCTCCTCCTCCTCCTCCCCCTCTGGTGTGTACTGTGTGCAATAAAATGGTTGGCCTTGTCGTCAGGGACTCAGAACCTGGGTCGCGCTGTGTGCTGATCCGAGAACCAGATGCCTCGCCCGTGGCGGGGACGGTCCCTCCTGCTGCCTCCGTCGTGTCGGTTCGTCTATCTCGCTTTCTCGCCCTTCCCGCTCCTTCTGGCCTCCGGGCTCTCCGCCCCCCCGCGGGGGCTCGGGTGGGCGCACGCTTCCTGGGGAGGCCTGCCGCCGTCCCGGGGCTGCGCCCCCGCTCCGCCTGCCCTTCTTCCGCGTCGCTGCTGCTTGCTGTCGGACCGTGGCGTAAGTGTCGGCCTCGCCTTCCTGGCCTTAGGGAAGGAGCCACTTCGAGACGTGCTGTGCACTGGCACCTCCGGTGCACGCACGGGGCTGCCGCGAGTGCCCCTCGTTGGCGAGGTGCCGAGCTGCAGCGTTGTCGCGCACATTCGTTTCAGAATTTCGCCACAGTTGCACGGATAGAGGGCGGATCGTTTTCAAAATGTGGTTCTTGCCTTAGCGCCACGCAAGTTCGTCTTAAAGTTTACATCAGTTTCACGGACTGGTGTGGTCAAAGTCCTAGGAATTGCGTTTGGGTGCGATTGAGGATTATTTGACGATTGTCTTCTATCTAATGGGCCACCTCCTGGAATGATAACGAGTTCTTGTATGGACCTATGAAGTGGAAACTAGGAGGGAAGGTTGATTGTAGCGTCGTTGCTGAAACTTGGCTTTTACAGTGGTCCTCCTCCTCCTCATACAAAACCTCCTCACAAAGCTCCTGGTGGTTCGACCCTCGGGATCTTGCCGTTCTCGTCCTTTACGATTATCATGGCGGGTACTCGTGGCCGTGGCTGGGCGATGCCTGAAAAAAACTGGCCGAGGGGGACTCCGCGAGCGGTCCTGGTATCCGTTTTGAGCGAGTTTGTGTCGGAGCATCGATATACGAGGTTCCCAGGAGTAAGGTTCCTGTGCCCTCGAGGGCCTCCGCCGAGAGCCTCGCGGCCCCTGAGGGCCCCCGAGGCCTGCGGGGCCTCTGGGGACCTCCAGGGACGTCCCTCCTCTCCTCTCCTTCCTCCTCCTCCTCCTCCTCCTCCTTCTCCTCCTCCTCCTCCTACCCCTCCTCTGTTTCCTCCTCCTCCTCCTCCTCCTCCTCCTCCTCATTCTCCTCGAGATTCGATTCGAGTACCCAATATCGACAATGTCCGACGCGACATGACCGTTTAGGGTTTCTTGAACGCCGTCGCAGTGCTGGAATCAAAACGCACCCCTGGAGGGGGGGAACAGAATCATCATCATCATCATCATCATCATCATCATCATCATCATCATCATCATCATCATCATCATCATCATCATCATCAGCATCATCATCATCATCATCAGCAGCAGCATCATCATCATCAGCATCAGCATCCAGCATCATCATCATGCATCATCATCACATATCAGCATCAGCATCATCATCATCATCATCATCATCATCATCATCATCATCATCATCATCATCATCATCAACCTCACCATCATCATCATCATCATCATCATCATCATCATCAACATCATCATCATCAGAATCATCATCGTCCTCATCAGCATCATCGGCATCATCATCAGCATCAGCATCAGCATCAGCATCAGCATCAGCATCAGCATCATCATCATCATCATCATCATCATCATAAATATCGTCACCATCCATCATCATCATCAGCATCGTATTCATTATCAGCATCCTCATCATCCCTATCAGCATCATCATCAGCAGCATCAGCATCACAGTCAGCATCAGCAGCAGCAGCGTCATCCTCATCAGCATGCTCATCAGCCTCATCATCATCAGCATCATCATCATCAAAATTATCACCATCATCATCATTATCATCATCATCGAAATCAGCATCATCATCATCATCATCATCAGCATCATCATCATCATCATCATCAGCGTCATCGACCGTCATCCGCATAGTGATCTTCACCACAATCAACAGAATATTCGTGCTGATCTCAATCATCACCACCACCGTTTTCGCCGCAATCATGGTCGGCATCGTCTTCGTCATTACCGACAAAAGTATCATCAGAGTCTGCAGAACTGTCGTGGCGTCATCATCATCACAACCAGCATCGCCATCATCGCATTCGTACTCGTTACCATCGTTACCACCAGCAGCAACAGCATCCTCACAATCAGCATCATCTTCATCATCTTCTTCATAATGGTCATCACCATCACCAGTATCATCGTCAACAACATCAACAGCAACATCCGCAACATCATCCTCATCCTCATCGACATCAGCGACCTCCCTCGGCACTGTCATCGTCATCAACATCACCATCGCCATCGCCAACGTCATCGACACCGTCGCCACCATTCCCAACGTTCATGGTATTACGACCGTGAATAGCATGGCAACCATCAAAAACATCATCGCCGTAACATTCGTCGCAATCATCAGTGTCGAAGTCATGGTGGATACTGCATTCAGCATTATCATCTGCACTGGCCTCGACGTTCATCATGCACCACCAACATCACCATCACGTCTGCAGCAATTACTCGTCGTCCTACTCCCTCCTCCCCCCTTTTCCCCGTCCCGCCTCATCCTACTGTTCCACATCCTCGTTATCATCACCAGTACCATCATCACCATCATCATCAGCATCAGCAGCAGCAGCAGCATCGTCATCATCATGGTAATAACCATAAGTATGATAATCATCATCATGATCATCATCATCATCATCAGCAGCATCATCATCATCATCATCATCATCATCATCATCATCATCATCATCGTCATCATCATCATCATCATCATCAGATTCCTCAGCAGCATCATCATCAGCAGCAGCATCAGCCTCGAAATCAGCATCCTCATCATCATCGTCACCATAACGATCATCAGCATCATAATCATCAGTAGCATCATCACCATCATCAGAATTCGCAGTATCAGCATCCTCATCAGCAGCAGCACCGTCATCATCGTCATCATCATCAGCAGCATCACCATCGTGTCATCATCTTCGTCATCATCATTACCATCATCGACAGCATCGTCAACATCATCATGATTGTCATCTTCAGCCTTGTGACTCGTCTCCTCCCCCTCGTCCCCCTCCCCATGCTACGCATCCATATCCTCAGCATCACCATCATCAGCATAACCATCATCGTTAGCATCATCATCATCATCATCAGCAGCATCAGCAGTATCCAATTGATCATCATCAGCAGCAGCATCAGCATCATCAGCATCGCCATCATCATCCTAATCAGCATCAGCAGCAGCATCATCGTATTCTCCTTCATCCACAGTGGCGTAATCATCGCCATCAACATCATCATCATCATCATCATCATCATCATCATCCGCATACGCGTCGGCATCGTCATCTTCACCCTCGTCCTCGTCACGGTCCCAAGTCACATCTTCATCCTCATCATCAGCAGCAGCATCACCAGTAATCACCATTAATAGGAATGATAACCGTTATCAGCAGAATCATCATTATCATCATCATCATCATCGTCATCATCATCACTACCATCATCATCACCATCATCGGCAGCTTCATCAGCATCATTACATCATCAGCATCATCACCATTATCATCATCATCAGCATCAGCGTCATCCTCAGCACCATCATCATCATCATCATCATCATCACCACCACCATCATCATCATCATCATCATCATCATCATCATCCACATCAGCATCATCATCATCGTCATCAACATCAGCATCAGCAGCAGCATCAGCATCGTCGTCAGCATCAGCATCGTCCTGATCATCGTGCTCGTCTTCATCCTCATCAGTACCCTCATCCTTGTCCACATCCTCATCCTCATCCTCAGCAGCGTTGTCATCCGCATCATTAGCATCATTATCATCATTATCATTATCAGCATCACCATCAGCAACAACATCGTCAGCCTCACTATCATCATAATCAGTATCGGTATGATCATCATCAACATCAGCATCAGCATCAGCATCATAATCATCATCATCATCATCATCATCATCATCATCATCATCATCGTCATCATCATCATCATCATCATCATTGCCGTCATCTGCATCATCATCCTCATCCTCCTCCTCGTCTGCGTCATGGTCCTCACCCTCATCATCATCCTGATCCCCATCCGCATCGTCACCCTCAGCAGCAGCATCATCTTCGTCATCAGCATCAGGATCATCATCAACATCATCAGCATCAAAATAATCATTTCAATTAATACAAGCATCATAATCATCATCAGCATTAGCATCATCAGCATCATCACCATCACCTGAATCATCATCATCATCATCATCACTATCTGCAGCATCATCATGAGCAGCAGCAAAAGCACCATCGGCATCATCATCATCATCAGCAGCAGCATCGTCATCGTCATCGTCATCATCATCATGACCAACATCATCATCATCATCATCACCACCATCATCATCATAATCATCATCATCATCAACATCATAAACATCATCATCATCCGTATTATCAGCGTGCTCATCCGTATCCTTGTGCCCCTCCGCCATATCATCCCAATGCTCAGCAGCAGAATATCCATGAATCATCAGCAGCATCGTCATCATCATCATCACCATCATCATCCGCATCACCATTCGTTGGCATCATCATGATCATCATCACCATCATCATCATCACATCCCCACCACCATCATCATCAGCATCATCATGATCATCCGCAGCATCGTCGTCATAAGGAGCATCATCATCGTCATGATCATCC